GCAAGTCTACATTTTAAAAAAATATCAAAAAGGGTCATGGACTCTGCTAAAACATAAATCATGTCCCTAGTGAATTTCATAAAAAATCTATTTCAGTTTATTTACATACATGTTTTTAGGACCATATTCTAATGCATAAAATACCACTAACGTAAATTAGTGCACACTTTCGGTGAGGGTAACTTGGCAAAATATATCAAAGTAGAAAACACACATATATTTTAATTCAGGAATTCTATTGCTAGAACTTTTCCTTACAGACATAATTGCAGAAACAAAAACTACAGAGGAAGATCAGTTATATGACTTATAGCATTCATACAATGGAATATGACAGTGATGATAAAGAATGAGGTGTGCCCAGAGAAAGATATTCAAGATAAATTTTTATGAGGCAAAAGTTCAAGACAGGATACAAGGTCTAATATCTATTTGTAGTTTTAGAATGTATGTATGCTGGTTCCCAAACTAATTTTTGGGCAGGACACATGATAAACTATTTTTTAAAATAATTTATTTTTATTTTTTAAATTAAATGTATTGGGGTGACACTGAAGAAAAACTATTAATAGAGGGGGATAGCAGAGGCTAGCAAAAAAAGACTATGCTTTTCTACCATCTATATTTTCTATTGTGCATATATATTATTTTATTTTTATAAAAGAAGGCAGGGGCAGTTAATAACAATAAATAATAATTATAATAATAACAGTGGAATCAATAATAATGTCTATATGCCTCAAACAGTTTTAAGCACTGTGCACAGATTATTTTGTTTTAATTCCCACATCTCTATGAGATTGGATCATTGTTATACCTTCTTGGCAGATGAGAAAATTCAGGCTCATAAAGGTTATGCCAATTGTTCAACGTCATGCTGCTAATAAAGAAGAGCTCAGATTAAATTCAGGTCTCTTTGACCTAAACCAGTACTCTCAACTGTTGCTACTATTTTTGTTTTCTTGCTTATATTTCTTCATGTTAAAATAAAAATGCTAATAAAGATTATCACATATATTTCAGTACTGGTAAAAACTTTCTCAAATGTTAAAACTAAAAGTATACTTTTCCCTAACATGTCATAAATCCAAACAAAAATCACTATATCACAAAGGCCCCAAATTTTTGAGGCTTAGTATGTACAAAGTATGAAAAAATATTTTTGAATTTTTAATGAGAAGCATTACTCAAAATGACAGCGTGCATACACACTTATAAGGAGGACAATAAAAAGAAACAAAGAAGAGGGGAAATGCAAACAGGGAGAAGAATCGAAAAGGAATGAGAGAAAAATTTACGAGATTATGCTAACACTGGCGATTTACAGCTTTAAGAAAATGCTTTATAAAAGTAGTCTAGGCTATCATTTCTGACAGCTGTAATTTGTTTCCATTATATGCACTAAAGAAATGCTCTATTTCCATTACAGATAGGATGAGGTTGAGGTATTTTCAATGAGAAGATGAGACCATTAAGTCATATCTAACATGCTTTATTCCAATTGCTTCCATATACCAGTACCACTCACTTTTTTTAGGGAAAACAATAACAAAAATAAATAAGCAACTCATTGCCACTCCAGATTTGCATATAATCTAAAAATAATTTCTCTAAACCTTTTTCGGGTGAAAACTGTCACTATTCCAATTCAGTCTATTCAATGTTTCATGAAGGTTCTGATGTGAGCCAGTAATTTAAGGATCATCTTACACGCATCCTTTCTTCTGATTTCTTTTACCCTGGCTGAATCCCTTAAGTTAATTTGCTTGCATTGTTGCTTTCCAAATGATCCTAGTGTGATATTAAGGTTGGTTATCAGGCGGTTCTCCAGAATCCTTTGGTTAAATTAATAAATCCACATGTGATTAGGTTAACACAACTGTTGACCAGTTTCTAGTCCGTTGCCAACAACTAAAGGTCTGTAGGAAGAGTACAAATGGAGACCCATGTACCATATAACTAAATACAAAAACATTAAAATCAAGCTGTCGAACTGTTAAATAGAATATCTTAATCCCCTATTTTGACAAAAAAAAATCTTTGAGAAAATATTTTTAAAAATATGTTAAACATTACTGATACAAATGAAAGAGAACAAGATTTCAAGAAAAATAAATTTTATTATTATTGTACAAGTTTGAGTGCTTTGGCGATTGCTGGTGGTGTTTGGGTAATAAAATAAAGACAATTCAGATTCATAAGTTATTATAATATTATTTCATACAATTTATTTCTCTTGCCTTTATTTCAGAAAAAAATAGTAATTATGTTGTTAAAATCAGAATTTTCTCACAATTTGTGTTCTATTACCAGTAATGTCTTATCAGGTCACAGTAGTTCTTAGATTATTTTAAATTAATTTAAATTTGGAGAAATTGCTTAGCTGAGGAATAGCAAATGAAATTGTTAACAAAATTTGTAATATGGGGATGAAACAAAAATTTTACAAAATTTAAACAATATTAAAGAAAACTATATAAAATTTATAAAATATTTTATTTTCATCATAAAATGTCTATAACTTAAGTAGTGATTTTCACCATTTTACAGTAATATTTTCATTAAATTTTCATTTACATAAAATTGCTGAAATTTCAGTTGATTTGTTCAAGTTGTGGATCTAATAAAAACAGTTGTAGTTCATTTGTATTGTTTTGGTCAATAATTAAATCTGTATTGAATAAAGAATTTATAATGTCTTGTTTGCAAATTTTATGTGGGTCACATTCAATGTAAATCTCACTTTTCTTGTTTCTAATTCTTATAAACTTAAGCAAGCTCCCTCTTTGAACATTTTCTATTTCTTTATGCTTTTCAATTTTTTCCCCTGAGCTCTACTCTTATATTTTTCTATTACTAGTATGATCTCAACATTAACTCATTCTCACTAATCTGTAAGGTTAAAAATTAAATGCAATTATATTCAAAGTGAACTCAGTTTGACTGTATTTTCATTAAAAATGTAAATTAAATTTTCATTTATATGTTTTCAAAAATATTGTTGTATAATATTCATAAAGACAAATAAAAATTAAAATGTGAAATGGAATTATAATGACGTATAAATTTTAATGTAAATTATTTAAATGAATTTAAAATTATGCATTTGAGGGAAAATTAATAAAATTTCATTAAGTACTTTCACAAAAACAAAATTATTTGCAATTCCAGTATTTAATGTCCATTTAGTCATCATTAAAAAAATTTAGATTATATTTTACACTTGTTAGGTCTAGACTCCTATATATGTAGATATATATGTACATGTATATATATATATACATATATATATATATATATACATATATACATATATATACACACACACACAAACAAATATAAGAGTAATATAGGCTTTTTAACATTGCAAAATGTTCCCTAGGTGCAACAATAAATATAGAAGACTAGGAAAGCAAGAACATGGATGCTAGATACCACTTCATTATGTAAGAGTCTAATGCAATGATCTTATCTGAAAGGAAGGAATTAACAAATTGGTTAATTTGCCTCTTCTGTTTCCTAAGCACTTCCACATCCAAAATCCTCTCTGGACTCAGAAGCAGTGTCAGTGACAACCCACAAACCTTGACAGCATTTAGTGGTAGCCAGCATTTGTCTAGAACATATAGGAAAAGAGATGTAAAGTGTTTCCCCAAGGATGGAAAGTGTTACTCCCAAAAGCACGTGCTTAGGATTATGGAGGTTCTGCCATGTCAGTAGAACCTGAGTGCTGCATGGATTGTAAGTGACAGAAGTGCCCATGAGCTCTTTCACAGAAGTTTGTGATATGTGGGGCCCCCTGCAGCACGAGGCCCAGGGCCTTTTGTGACCAAGTCCTGGGGGAAGATGGTTGGGAATCTTGTTCCCATGGTATGATCCAGCCATGACTGTATTCCTAAGGCCTTCTCAGGTCTGCTTTCCCTGGAGGTATGCTAATCAATCTCATAGAGTATTTAGGACTAGACGTGATGACATGTATAGCTCTTCCATTTTGAAAAGAGCTTATGCATGTTTCTGATACACCAGGAACCATACTTTTTCTATTATGATGCAACAGTCTGTCTGCCATTTTTAAGTGTTGGATTTTGGACAGGTTATTAATTCTCTGGGTCTTGGTTTCTTTAGCCATAAAATGAGTTCAATAAAACTACTTTCTACAGTTGTTCTGATGATTAAATGAGTTGATGAATAAAATAAACTGCTCATTGCCTGGTATATACCTATTTTTATTATTCCTGATATAAAATTTATTTCTATACTCTTCATCCCACTGTTTAACCAGCAAGCTCCAAAAAAAAAAAAAAGGTTATTTTCTAAAGAAAGAAACTCTGTCCCCAGGAGAGTTACTCTACTTTCTCCAAACTGTAGGAAACAGTGACTGCCATTCTGTGTCGACCCTGGACATATTCGGCTGTCCCTCTTTGCATGGTGTACTCCTTTAAATTCATGCACACAATATAATGTAGGCCCTTGACCCCACCCAATGATCTTGTTAAGTGTTCTTGTTAGCTCAGTGACTATTTCAGAGCTTGTCTGCCTTGGCCACATGGTCTACCTCTCCATATTCTCAGTAGATAACTCTGCCTCTTACTATCATAAATTATTAGACTAGAGAAATAGAGAACTTTGATTTCTCTTTTTTCATTAGGTCCTTTTCATCAATATTTAATTGTATTTATGCCTCTATTTTCTTAAGAAAGAAAGAAAAAAGAGAGAGAGAGAGAGAGAAAGAAAGAAAGAAAGAAAGAAAGAAAGAAAGAAAGAAAGAAAGAAAGAAAGAAAGAAAGAAAGAAAGAAAGAAAGGAAAGAAAGAAAGAAAGAAAGAAAGAAAGAAAGAAAGAAAGAAAGAAAGAAAGAAAGAAAGAAAGAAAGAAAGAAAGCAAGCACTCCCTAGACCTGTCCCCAGCTAGCATCTATGCTCTTTCTCTTCTACAAATCTTGAATGAGTTGTCTCTAGTCATAGTCTCAGTTTCTCTAACTTTCACCCATTCCTCTACCAGGTTCCACTACACTGAAACTTCTCCACCACATCTTCAAGGTTAGCTCCACAGTGTCGAAGCCAGATTTTCAAGGTGTCAATTGGTCTTGGGCAGCATTTAATATTGTTGATCCCTCTCTGCTTCTTGAAAAAGTGACATCTCATGACTGTCATGGCATTGCTGTCCCTTTTTTCCCCCTCTAACTTCACAGTCTCCCCTGTCTCCATTTACGGTTCTGAGGCTTGTAAATACTGCCTCTATTTACCCTTCACATTCTCACAGGGCAACCTTATCCACTCCCACCCACAAAACAGTACCCTGTCAGGGGAAACTCCAGCCATCTTAGGAAGGTAAATTATTGGCTCACGTAAACGGGGAACTCAACAGATAAGTCTTGACTCTATCCAGGAAGGTGACTAACAATAGGAAGGATGTGTCCTGTTTTCTCTGTCCCTTGGCCCTGCTTTCCATAATGTTGTCTTCATTGTCAGCCGGGCTCCTTTTCTTAACAGACAAGAGAGCCACCTGCAGCTCCAGACTTACATGGCTCAGGATTCTAGAAGGAAAGACACAACAGTCTTCTCATATCCATTCCCACTTTGCTCAAAAGAGTTCTGTGAACTCACCCTAGTTCCCATGCTCACTCTGAACCAACTAAGGTCAAAGCAATGGAGTACTTAAAGAGTCAATCTGGGTTCCATCCTTTTGGTAAAAGTAGAGCAGAGTGAGTCTTAGCCAGGACACAGGAGTGTCCTCACAGAAACACTGAGGAAAAGAAACAGATACCGAGCAAAAATCAAAATACACATCTACAATCTTATTTATCACTTTTTGTCAACAATTCTACTGTCTATATTTCCAGATTAATTATGGGTCTTGAGCTCCATAACTTCATATTGACAACCTCCCAGCCCTATTGCTTTTGAGAAGATATACAAGCAAATTAAATTAAACTGTTCTAAAAGTGAACTCATTATTTACTATTCCAAAATTTGCACCTTCCCTTCTGTCTTCTACAGAGAATGGTGCTGCCATTTACCCAGTTGCTCAACACAGATATCTAGTAGTCATCCTGGACATTCCCTCTCCACAGCTAGACATCTCTATCTAACTGATTTTCAGGTGCTGTGACTTTTAAATAGCTCATCTATCAAAATTGTATCAAGCATTTTTTTGAACCACAATAGTATGAAACTAGAAAACAATTAAGTAGTTCATCTGTTTATTTCTTTTAATTTCTACTGTGACCTAAATTCAAGCCACCATCATTTCTGCATAGACTTTTAAAAAAGTTTTCTAACCTTTTACACTTTTGGCTCCAATTTATTCTCTTTTCCCTTTTATTTTGAATTTTTCAAAAGTGTTTATGTTATACATGTACATGAAGTGGCAAAAGTTTTCACAAAGTTTGTTATGAAAAACAACACTAGTCCCCCATTCACCCTTCATTTCCACAGAGATGCTACTATCACAAAATTTTAGCTCATTATTTCGGTATTTTCCTCCTAAATAATATAATATGTTGCTACTTTTTGTCATTTTTCAATTTTAGACAGTTCCTATCCTATTGACTGCCCACTGGAAAGGATGAGAACTTAACTCTCTTTCTTTCCTTTGCTCCCTCCTGTGCCATCCCCCTGTTTCCCAGGAGAGCTGTATCATAATTATGGCTTGACGTTTTGGCTTGACAGTCAATGTTGTACTAAAATGTACTAATACTAATGGACTAAATGTGCTAATGTACTAAAACTACGTTAAAGCTATTCACAGCTGAAAATATTAATGAAACTTGTTTTTTTTTCTTCCTATTTAATATGTGTCTTCCCTAAGTGGCTTCTTTATTTTTTCTTTTCTTTCTTGCTCTTTTTTTTTGGGGGGGGGTCTATATTTTTCACATTAGAGGCTCTTCTCAGATGCCTGTTAGTGCTTGCTTGTCTGTGCGTATTGAAGAGGGAGGATGATTAGAATTCTGGGTCCATGAGTAGGGCTTGTTAACTGTGAACTTCACTGTCAGGTGATCTGACTGGGCCATTTAATCGTGGAACCTTTGATGTTGGTGTTTTCAGGACCTTCCCCCAGACCAGGAAGGTTTCCTGAAGGAGACCATTTTGCTTTCCTATTTTATGACCAAAGGCCTGGTTTTCAGCACTGTAGGAAATGGGAAAGAGCCACCAGGTCTCAGTGTCCAGTCTGCGTACATCTTCTAATCGGTCCATTGTTATGAGGTCACTTCTTCTTCTCAGCCGTGTCTAGGTGTCTTCCAGTCCAGAAACCTACTCTCCAGAGAACAAGCCTCCAGACTTTTCTGGCCAGATGAGAGACAGCTGTTCAGCTACATGGAATGGAGGAGCGGATTTGACTGCTTCTTAAACAGGCATTAGACTAGTCCTCTAGTTTATTGAATGAACAAATGGCTCTCACGGTCACCAAACAAATGAACAAATATAGCAAAAGGCTAGCCTGAACTGGGAGGGGTAGCCCTGAGGAGAACCTACGAATAAGTCAAGACAAAATTATGACACCCAAATACAAAAGTGTGCCAGAGTTCTGCATCACACAAGATGAAACTGACTGAGAGAAACAAACTTACAGAATGAACAGTAAATTTGTTAGATGTGGGGGGAGAATGTAGTAAGACTTAAGATGCAGAATGGATTAAACATCTACTTTCTGCTGCAAGGAGGGCCATAACATCTACTTTGTAGGGGTGTTGTGATAGTTATAGATTGTGGATGTAGCCTGTTTTACATTTTAGGCTTTTAATAATTGGTAGCAGTATATCATTTTTAGTTAAGATGTTACTCCATTTACATTTTTTTGGAAACAGTCATATTTTTAGATTACAACCCAAAGAAACACATCTGGAAAATATTTATGAAGGGAGATATATGCTTCTGGAAACAGATACCAGTAATACATTTTAGCAGGTACTCATGGACATCTGTTTCTGAAATGACTCATTTTGCTTCCTTTCCCGCCTGTCGTATCTCTGCTGCAGATTCAAACACCTGGTAGGGAGACTCTAGATAGCTTGAGTCTTGGTGTCTGCCTCGAAAGGGTAGTTTCCCAAACAATAAAAATAAAATAATAATAAATAGTAATAATAATACACGACTCAGTGCTCCAAATATGGATTCACACCTAAAATGGTAACACCAAGTATGTGAAAAATAGTGATTTTTTTAAAAATATGACTTCTCTTAATTACTAGAATTTGAGTCAGATCAAGTCAGTGTTTTTGCGCTTTATTTGCAAGTCACATTCTAGGTAACAGTTCTCAAGGGCTTAAAGAGAATGAGCCCCAAACTCCTTTGTGAAATTCGCTCTCCTTCCCTGACATTACACATGATATTAAACGGAAAAACAAAAGATACCAGAAACCTTCATCTCTAGGAGTCCCTGTCTAGATGCAGGGGGAATTCTTGGCATAGAACTTTCCGTCACTCCAGTTTCGAGGGCAATTTGTCTTTCAAACCATAGTGATGAAACATAGGTTACTGTTTTCTTATGCTATATTATTTTATTTATCATGATTATCCAATGCCTTTTTTACATTTAGTACATAATGCCTTATTAAACATTTATCTCATTTCACTTACTTTAGAAGTTTTTTTAAACATCTGCTGAAGTATAATTAGAGAAATGCCACTACTTTAGTAAGTGTTCAAAAATCAGTTAAAATACTTATGTTATTATTTCAGCCAAATAAAAATGATGGAAATCAGATTACATATTAAAAAGAAATAAAGGAAACATTATGATGTTGAGGACCTGTATATGATCTCCTTTCTTGACTTTAGCTGCTATTTCATCTACATCTAAGCTCTATTAATTTTAAAATTACATCAATTTTATTAATAAAAATAATTAGGTTCAATTAAAGTTTATGAGTAGCATTTAACACATTATTATACATGTCTGATTTTTACACTAGGCACCATTGAATATTTCATATCATGTTAGAAGTCTGCCAATTTTTCCCTAAGACATTCTATTTCATCAAAAAAAAATAAAAGAAATATGGTAGTCTAACTGAATTTCTTGCTGTATACAAGTGATAGAATTTTGTTCTTATATAATGTAATCATATAAATGACAGTAAAAATCTAATTCCAGAAATGTGGGGGAGGAAATTGTCATTTTTTGTTCTATTTTTTGTTGTTGTTTTTAGTTTGCTATTGTTGTTTTTAGTTTGTGATGACATTGATTCAATTGACTTTGATTGACTTGTGAATGATAAATCAACCTTGCAAACTTGGGTCATGATGGCCTTTTTAAATGTTGTCGGATTCTATTTTCTAATGTTCTGTCAGAGCTGAGCAGATCGAGAAGGGATGATTCCATGGTGAGGCGCCCAGTTGGAAGAATGCACAAGAGGCCAGCACAAGTGTTACATTGCAGGCACCAACTTTATGGTGCAGAGTGCAGTTCTATTGGGGGAAGTGCAGGCTATTGCGGGAAGCCGGCTTCTGCTTCTGCTCTTCTTCTGCTCCCCTTCTTGTGCTCTCCTTCTGCTCTCTAGGGGACCGCATGGCTCCTCACAGATGAGGGTACAATAGTGGCATTCAGCCACACATGCATGATACAATAAGCTGAAGTATGTTTACATATTTTAGGCGCAGGCGCCCTACTACACTAACGTAACATTCTAGATCTGGGGTCCTATTACTAGCCACAAGCCTGGATCACAGCCAGACTCAGGACCAGCCAAGCCTGGGACCCACATATCCTGTCGATGTTTTGGAGTCTATGTTCATGGGGATATTAGGATGTAGTGTTCTTAATTTTTGTAACGTCGAATTTTAGTGTCAGGATAATGATGGCATTGTAAAATAAGTTAGCTTTCCCTGCTCTTTTAATCTCTAGAAGTGTTTGTGTATGATTGAGATTATTTATATCTTAAATGCCTAGTAGGATTCACCAGAGAAGACTTCTGAGTCTTGAATTTCCTTTGTGGGGACATTTTAAACTATAAATTTTATTTCTTCGACAACTTTAGGGTTTTTCATCAATATTTTTTTGAGTAAGCTTTTCCAGCTTTTGTCTTTTAAGGAACAGACTACTCGCTTCATTTTAATTTTCACATTTATGTCATTGTGTCTTCCATATATTTCTTTGCTATTTTTTTAATATCTGTAGGACATGTAATGGTGTTCTCTCTCTCATTTCTAATATTGGTGATTTGTATCTTCTTTATTTTCCT